ATCCCACAATTTCCATCTTCCAGCCAAATGCCTGGTTAGTATCTCATCTAGACTCTTGGGGGTAAATTCACTGTAGATGTTGTTGCTAATTGATGTTCTACTTTCTGCTCAGTCGACTGGCTTCCTAATTTCAGCCCTATGATGCTTCTGCATGGCGAGCAGTACTTGGCGATCAAAAAGTTTCCAATTCCGACGTCTGGTACATTCGTAAATCAAACAAGGCTGATGGAAGCAACTGACAAAGGAAAGGCGGCTGCTGTAGTTACTATCACCCATACGTATGACAAGGAATCAGGTGAATTATTGTTTGAAAATCAAGGTACAGTATTCATCCGTGGATCTGGTGGATTTGGAGGAAAGAAAACCTCGAGTGATCGAGGCGCAGCATCGGCTCCCAATAAGCCACCCAACCGAAAACCAGATGCAGTCATCACCGAAAAGACGGAAGCAAGACAAGCTGCCTTATATCGTTTGAACGGCGACTTCAATCCGTTACACATTGACCCTTCGTTTTCTGCGGTCGGTGGATTCGAGAACCCAATCTTGCACGGGCTCTGTTTCTTTGGTATTTCGGGTAAACATGTATACGAAAAGTTTGGACCCTTCAAGGACATCAAGGTCCGATTTGTAGGCTCGGTGTATCCTGGCGAGACTATTGAAACAAATATGTGGAAAGAGGAAAACAAAGTAATCTTTGGTATGTTTGCTTCTTAGAATCTATAGATCTTTCCACATCACTAATTTTTGCCTATTCTTTTTGCTTTTTGCTAGTGACCAAATGCAAGGAGAGGGACACTGTTGTCTTAGGCAGCGCTGCCGCCACTTTGGCCTGATCAACAAAAAACAATCCCAATCATCCAATTCGTCTACAGAAAGCAACCAAACCCGCGCATCATTAGCTATTTATAAGCTCATCTCAAAACAACAAAAAAATTCCATCTAGACCACTCAGCAAACGTTTCTCTTTCATCGTTCTGTCGTTTGGTTACTCTTTCTGTTTTTGTCAAAAATGTAGAACAAATCATAAATACTCACTGTAGACTACTGACCTTTTATGAGAATGTAATTACTTAACCCCTCAGAGTGAGAAAGAGAGACTTTCTTAGTTGGGCCTGAGGGGTTCTCACTATTGGGGTCTGGTCAGTGTTCCTTTGACTTGGCTTGCAGAATATTATCACCAATCAAGATTGACATGTGAAGATCCTTAATCACATCTTGTAGTGTTTAAAGTGCAACATGAGCTGAGACCTTATACTGAATTGCTTTCTGATGATCCCCAATGCTGTACATACTTGGATGAACATTGATCAACACTATTTATTGTGGGTTATGGTCACCCAGGGTGTACAGCATCTTTCAACATGTTTCATTACTACATATCCTCCTCAAAATGCCCTGTAGTGCACAAGTCCACCAAATGGCACAGTAAATACACTCAAAAAGGGAGGGGAGTTCTGGATGCGGTGGGGCCATCTCTATCATTGAATCATCAGGCTGGTTCATGTATGTTATTGCCTTCCAACAACATTCACCTTCACTGCCTCCCCAGTTATCCTGGCCTTCTCATCAATCTAATCCCCTCTATTCAACAAACTTGCTGATCCTCACTTTCCTAAAACCTTCTTCCATGTAGGTTATTGTTATGGATCTCTTCTTTCTTGTTGTTCATGTATTAACCACTCTCTTTTTTCAGAACTCTCTTTTCCTTCTATCCTCATTATATTATAGCACATTACTTTTATTTTCATTTGTCATCTACTACTTTTAGGTGTTTGTATTTCTCATTTCTTTCTGTCTGTCTGCTTGTATTTCTTTAGCTGGCACTCATGAAATGCAACCTTTTAGTCTATTCATTCACAGTTTTGTGGTTCTTGATCTATATAATAGAGAAGTATTCTGAAATGGTTTATAGAATTAGAGATAATTGAAGTGAATTACAAGACAAAATAAAAGAAAAAGGAGAAAAAAAATGCACCAAAGAATAGTTTTGATCTAAGACTACAGTTATAAAATCATTGAACTCAAGATTTGTCTTACTGAAAATTTCACACTGAAAGAGATTTTTGGATGTCAATTGATTGTAGGGTGTAATTGGCCTGTAAGAATAATTGTCTGGGTTAATTTTATCCCAGTCAAACTGGGATGCACCCAACCAAATTAACATTGGTTGATTTCAACTAGGAATGACATATCACACCCCACTTACTGCCTGGAATTTGAGACAAAGTGGGAAACCAGGTGGTTACCAGTACCAAACAACACTTAAAAACAGACCCTCAGAGTCAAAGGCTATTTTCATGGCCAGGCACCTCCTTTGAATTCCACTCAACTTGGATACCTGTACCCACACCCAGAATGTGCCATGGGTACTAAGACATGTCTGCAGGTACCTACCAACAGTTTCCAGTTCCCAACAGTGGATCTCTACACAAACACCTATCAGTAGCTTATCAATCCAAATAAACATCTCCTAATGTCTCAACGTTAGTGGGCTGTTGTGGACCTGTGCTGTGTTACACCACTTTGTGCAGGACAACTCTGCTAAAAACTAGGGGGTGGAACAATGTGTAGCAGCCACATAACTTACCCTGTGGCCTTCAGACACAGTTTAATACTGCTAAAAGACAACAGAAAATATCTGTAGCGCTAGCAGTATTCTGCTGCACTACACTGTGTTGATGATAAAGTCAACATAGCAGACCCATCAACAGGTATTAGAGGCCACTCCTATGTTCAACCAATGATGGGCCAGTTACACTAATTGTAGCATTAGCACAGTTTAGAAAATTGGACTTCTGCTAACATTTAGCATAGCACAGGAGAATTCCACCACATCTGCACTAACATTATACTATCATGCCACAAAAAAAGACTGTTACACTTTTCTACAGCATATTTTTTTTTTGCTGCTAAGATTTCTGTAACACAACATAGTGAGGCTAACAGTACACTAACACTAAAGTGTTACTAATGTTCTTGGAGAGGAGGAAGGGATCATCTGGTTTCTGGTTCTTGATGGTAGATTGCAAGATGAGAAATAATTAAGGGGTGAATCTTGAGCCAAAAGCTAGTTGGGGAGTTGTAACACACAGGCTATGTACATATTTAGAATTCCAAACTATAGCTCCAACAGCTCATAACATACAGAGTTGGTGCACTATTTTGAGGGCTGCTATTCTATTAGTAGTGGGCTGTTTAGTGTAGTGGCCCATTTCTATTTCAACCAATGAAATATAAATTCAAGGGGGGTTAAGGCTTGGATCAAGTAGCAGATGAGATCAAAAACTAATTCAAAATCAATCAAAAGACTAAGTCCTATTAATCTAGCATTAGACAGCCAATCTTCACAATAGAATTTTTTTATCAAACAATATTGTATCAATAGAACATAAACTTTATTTCACCTTTAGTTGAAAACTCATATCATTTGATTTCCTTAACTTAAAGTCCCAATTTCATATTTCATTCTCTATTGTTTATATCTCTCTGTTATAAGAATATCAATGACCACACTCTCCAGATAGCTCTGTTGGAGGACTTACCATTGCAACTTGAAATGCTTTTGAGAACTCTCTCTCAGTACTAAATTGGCAACACAATTAATAATTCATGAGAAATATTGCTAGAAGGCTTCAGAAAAAAAAATGATCAAAAAATTAGATCTAAGGGGTGTAAATTGACTTCTGGGAGGGTTGAAGATTGCAATGGTAAGTCATCCATTAGGATCTTGCCTGCTTTGAGGTGCAGACCATTATAATTTATACTCTCAACTTCTCAAAACTCTTGTGTATCATTTGTCTACAGTAGATTTCTAATATTAAGAAATGAAAATTTTGTTTGCTTCAAATATTTCAGAATGTAAGAACAGGAGAACGTTTTAGCCAGAAAAATAGCTGATCACTCCCCCCAACTCATATTGCACCACCACCCAGGTGTTCATGTAGTTCCAGGAACCCATACCAAGTAGAGATGTCACTCGATACCCGGGTACCTGTAGCGGGTGCGGGTACCTGCCTCAAAAATCCAAGATTTTTGACACCCGCTGTGGTAAGCCAATCTTGAATAAGAGGCCCACAAAATCAAAGCTTCATGCACAATAATAGGCCATCTGGACAGCAATACCCTCAAGGACCAAGACAAGCCCCCTCTGGAATATTCAACCAACCTGCAACACCATGGATGTCACAAGACCAAGCCCCCAGGACAGAAGACACTCTGGATTCCCATTTCACTTCTTTATTACATAATCATCTCATGCAGTCTTACATCATCAATCCCCATTCAGCCTTCCACATTTGGCCTCTGCATGTGTTTCACTCTAATCCACTTTCACTCTAGTCTCATTTCCACTTTGGGCCACATTTCACTGTTTCACACTATTCTACATTGGTTATTCTGATGTCTCACACTAGTACACATTTGGCTAGTTCATTCAACTCTTTGGTATATTCTTCCTCCCTCATTGGTTGTGGCACATTTCATCCCTGCATGTCTCTGATGTCATTTTCCCCATTTATCTTAGTGCCTACCATTTAGAAGAAAATTCCTCTTGGATTTCTGTTGATGGTTGGCTAAAAAAAAGGGGCCATTTTTATAATCCCCTTTCTATAATGTATCTACACCAATTGGGCCACATTGT